AGACTGAAAGGAAAGCTCTTCAAGAGATGGAGAGGAGAGCTGAATGTAATTAATTTCTCTCTCATTTGAAGCGGTACAGATGGCTGAATTGAAAATAGATTCTTTTGACTATGGCCCTGAAGGCCACAAATTTTCTGCCTTAATGAGAGAGAACAGGCAAGGGCTACTGACCGCTGAAAAGACATTTGAAGAAACAGTCATTCTGTAAAGTTCAGAATAAATGCTGCGGCTTTAATACTCTCCACGTAGCTATTCAGAGGTTTCTAATCCTTGAGCATTTAAAAAACAACGCACAGACCATGTGGAACCTAAGCCAAACGTTTTTCTTGGTGGATTTGCCGTGTTGGATCGTGCTGGCGCACAAGGATGAATGAGATCAGAGCTTCAGTCCTGTACGGCAGCATGCTGCCTTTCGCCGTTCGCATCTCTGAGAGAGGCGGAGGGAGAGAGAGGTGGTTTGCATTCCCTGCTGATGGACGTGTGTTCCTGGAGTGGAATCCATGCCCAGCGTCCCTTCCCATTTCCACTTCAGCTTAGGTGCAACTCCTGAGCTCTTCCCATCATTTTACAGCTGTTGGCTTAAAAAAGCATATTATTTTTCAGATATTTCACCTTTACTGGGATTGTAGCTTAGAGAATCAACTGCTGATGTAGATTGATTTTTTTTGTTTCTTTTTTTGACCACTGATGCGATCAGACTATTTTTTAAATCCTCAAAAGGATGGAAGATACTCTTGTGTAAGGAATCCAAGGGTACCACAGTGCATGTGGAATTCTGTGCAATCATCTCACATTTTAAATGGTTGTTGTTTGCGTGCTAACGTGAAGAGGGATAGAAGAGCGGGCTGAGCTGCCGAGTCTTCTTTGAAGTTTAATTGTCTGTTTGGTAACGGAACACATAATCTTCCATTACAAATCTTATTTTATATGGTAATTGGCTCATTTGCTCTCTGGTTACCAATTTGACTTCTTCACCACAGACATCTATACTTGCATTGTGTTAATCTGTGTGAATGCTAAACATTGACATAGTTAAACTATAAAAGTGTATTTTAAAAGCATTTTTTTAATTAATTAACTGGAAAGTAAATGATAATAAAGTGAGCACTTGTCATATTATTATCCCTTTGTAAGCAGCTTGGCATTTGCTCTGAAAGCCAGAAAAGCAGTCACTTTAAAAAAATAACGTGTTTCAAATTCTAAATCTCCTAAATCAATAATATCTGAGAGCAGGTAATAGGGTATCTAGTCCAGCTTTCATTTTTGTGGCCAGTCGTATGATGCAATATTAATGCCTGCTTGTGGATGATGCCCCAAGTTAGAGCAGTGTCAGTTGCTAAAGATATGTGAGTACTTTCCAAATGTCTTCATTACGAGTTAAACATTAGTGGAGAAAACAGAAATAACCCTGTAACTTTACTTTGCACTGATTTGGTTTCAGATGTGGTGGTCCATCAGTTCTCTTACGGTGCTCCTTCCTCCTCCTCACCCTCCACTTGTCTCTCAGCCTGTCAGATTAGTGATGGCCTGTGCCAGGCTACTGCTGTTCATTCTTCTGCGGTTTAGTTTTGGGTTTGCTTTGAAAACCTGCTGGGTGTGATGCAGGTCTCTTACCTAAAAGGGGAATGTTGAGGGAAATCTAAACTGCTGGCAACATACTCAAAGAGGAAAATACGTGGAACAGCGCTAGAGACGCCTGTCTCCAAGACCTGGTGATGGGATCCTCCCATCATACCGTCTGTGCTGGGCAGACAGCGTGTGTACGCTGAGGAGTAGGGACTTGCCCTTTCTGATGCCTCTCTGTTGGAGGGAAGGTCTGATGTGTCTCCTCTGCGATGTTTATGCTCATCGTTTCCAAAATGAAAGGGTGTCTGAATATGCTTTGGGAAGACATAACCATTAAACACGTACAGGTAAATGGAAATCTGGGTCAAAATGTGGTTTAACGAAAGGTAAATTGTATCATGATACTTCTTTCGATAAAGTAACTGACTTGGGCAAAGGCAGTCTGGAGCCCAGAGCAGCTGTTTTTTGTGTGAGGAGCCACCTGTGCTTTTACTGAATTCCTTGTATATATCCCTTTTGTTATCCTGGAGTTTTACAGTGTGGCTGCTCAGTACAGCAATCTGCATGTGTTCTGGGATCATCAGATTAATTTATTGATACAGTTTTGTGCTTTTGGCAGTGAGTGTTATTGGCTTGTGTTTATTAGGATTCCTGTAAGAAGTTGAATACATGGCTAAGGAATTAAATGTTAGCCTGTAATGAACGTTAGGAAAATGCGAGCATTGCACATTCACGGAAAAACTAACTTTTTGTGTTTCCAATTTTTGTGTCACCTTTTCTCAACTAAGCAAGCACTTCAAGAATCGATGTGTGTGTACGTGTGTGTGTACAGGAAAGGAAATGAGAACATAAACTATTGATCAAGCAGACAGGAACAAAATTACTCATCAGTTAAAAATGGCTAACGATGACAGCGCAGTGCTCCATCACAGGCTGACATCACTATGGTGCGTCTAGGAAGGGGCAGATACAGTAGTAGAATGAATTGGGCAAGATATTTTCTGTAGTGATAACACTGTATTTCTACCATTTTTCAAGTCACTGGGGAGACGCGTCTGAAATTGCATGCAAATAATTGAAACTGTGCAGGCTGCAGAGATTAATTCAAACCAGAGAGTCTGCGAGGAGGGTGCGCGTGACTTGTTGTACCAGAGCTAAGCAAGCAGGACTTGTTGAGCCTGCCAAAATAAAGGCTGGGATATAGGAAGGGAGTGGAGAAATAGTGCAGCTCACAATAAATAAAAATGCCGAGGATAAATGTCAGGGAGGAGGAATAATTTAAAATAAAAGGCACTGTTTTCATAGAGAATAAGTAGTAGCAATTTGGCTACAAATAAATTGAGAAGACAGTTTTCAAATGTCAGGTTTATATAAGGTTATAACAGCCATATGATCCAGATAGTAAGTACAAAAATGTCTAAATCATTTTAAGGTGGAGATGATGGCGGTTTTGGTAAGTCAGTCCCATCCAGATTTTTGCTCCTGTGTGAGAGTGTTTGGGCAGCAAACACATATGTACATCTTTATGTAGTTTCTGGTATAGGTTTACATGCTTGTCTGAGAGTTAAGCCATCTTCTGACTCTATAAATAAGTATTTGCATATGTTAATGTTCTCATACTTTGTTTATAATCTGAAACTTGAGGTTGTTTTGGAGAGCCACTTGCCTCCAGCTGTCTGTTTTTAAAAGTTTTAAATCCACCTGCAAACCTTTATGATCATTTCATAGGAAGAAGTAAAACATGATCTAGTATTCCATATTCCCTGGCATGAAATAAATCCCATTGATAGGTGAAGCGCGTAAAATGTTTGCCTAAACTGTGCAGCCCTTCCATACTGACTTTCTTTGATAAATATTAAAGGGCAAAAGGCTGCTTTTGACTTTCCTGGAACTTGAACAATCAGACCTGCCAACATAAGCAAGCAAATTGCCCTTACGTTGGTGAGTGTAGTAAAAATAAATATATAGGTGAATGTTCTTCATAATAGATGATATTCAAATTGGATGTGCCTGAAAACAGCTCTTCTTGCTGCCACGAAGCCAAAGAAGTGGGAGAGTCTTTGTACGTAAGTGGATGCTTCTCAGGGGCACATTCATGCACAGATTTTTAACATGTCTGCGCATTGGACACTTTGGGGGCTTGTATTACCAAAAAATTCTGTATCCCTGAATTTTTATGGATTTTAAATGTCTTAAATTAATTTAACTCTGAGTACATAAGGACATTTAAAAAGGCAGCCAAGAACTGGAGATGACAGCTTTGGTACAAGTCTTAAATGAAGAACCTTTCTATTTTACTGTGTTATGAAATACGTGTCTTTGATCATATGCATCTGTAATACATTATTAATACGATACAAAGATGTGTGTGTAGTCCTGTATATAGCGTTCACAAACCAGAGAAGAAAATCTCTGGATAAATACGGCACTATCTGTTTGGTAAGCGGAGTTTCTTCACAGAAGCACAAGGCAGTGGGACCCTAGGAAAGTTTCATCTTAGTTTTCTGTCCATTAATCTTTAAAAGTCTCTTAACACAATTTTAGCTTTTGGTTACCTACTGACTGAAGTATTCAGTACAAGGAACTCCCTGAAAAATCTCTGGTTTATCAACAAAAGGATTTTATCTGAATAAATAAGTTGTTGCAGATTGGGATATGCCCTTACCTAACGCAGCCTGGCTGCACTGCTGCTGCTCTGTGTTTTACGGAGCTTCGGCTCGGCTTACCAGATATAGAAGTGTAGATTGTTGAAAAAATTATAGACAGCCATTTTTGTCATGACCTGATTTATTAATTTCAAATCTAACTTAAAATCTTCCCATTTTACAAATTAGTAAATTTTGCTGTGGGAGGGGGTGTGAAGGCTTCTCTATAACTTTTGTTGTCTTGCTGGGAGCTTATCCCCCGAGACTCTTCATTTGTGAAGGGGGCATAAAACTGTTGCACAATGAAGCACTAAATGATTTGCTCAGATGAGCTCGTAGTTGGTGAAGGAGGTGTGAATGATGTCTGAAATCCACTTCAGCAAGCAGCGACGTGCCTACAGCAGAGAAGAGACTGCAACATGTTCTTCAACGGCAGAAATATTTTTTTCCAAATGGCATCTATGTCTCTTGGTTTGAAAATACTTCTAAACTTTACACTTTATACATCTCAGTTCGATTTCTTCCTTCGTGTATTCTCAAAAGGTCATTTCAAATTAAAATGGCTGGCAGTTTAACAGACCCAAATGTGATTTTGAAATAACACAGAGCTTGTCTCAGCTTCTGTCAAACCCTGATCTGAAGATGTCGCCAACTTTGCTGCTGTTGGTGCTGGAGTCCCTGAAGCCAGCTTTTCCTGTGTTGAGTCTTATTGTGTGTTGGAGTAAGAGCACAACTGATGTGCTGTGGGTGCTAACACCATCTTTTGTCTTTCTTCCATATTGTTCCAAGTTCCTCCTGCATTTCTGAAGCGCCCTGCAAATATTTATGCTCATGAATCTATGGACATTGTGTTTGAGTGTGAGGTGACTGGAAAACCTACTCCAACGGTGAAATGGGTCAAGAACGGAGACATGGTGATCCCAAGTGACTATTTCAAAATTGTTGTAAGTATATTGTCCCTTTTGCAGATTTTTAAGCTGTTGAGCTGTCTTTTAGTCCTCTAAAACATATGCATGGAAGCTAGGTGCTTTTATAGGACCAGCTTCCGATTTTTGTACTACTGATGTTTGGGGCCTGGAAGAAAAGTGTTGAAACCTTTAATGCTCCAGAATTCAGTCATTTTACTGAAACGCTAAGGCGTGCTGCTTACGTTGTATGAGTTGATTTCTTCATAGCTCAGCTTTTCCAGGAGAGACAGACGCGCACACCCTGGCTAAACGTACTTTGTTGGTAGAACCTGTTAAAGCACAGGCTTGCTGTGAACGCCGACTGACTGTTTGCTGCAGCCGTCTGTGGCCAGTGGAAAGTGCAATTTCAAACAGGAGCTTAAATATAAATAGAACTGAGTTGTGGATCATGAGTTTTGGCACACTGGTACTTCTAGAGGGAAATTTTAGATGTAGTGAAAGTCATTATTGAGGCATAGTTGAGAACTTAATGGTTGTATAATTGAGCATACCTGAGGTTGTAGGATTGTAACAGTGAGCGATGCGGTTATATTCAGTGCTTAAAATATCGTAAAAAAGGCTGTGGAAGTGTTATGACTTACCAGTGATACGTGATGCTAGAAAATGATAGCCATTAGTAAGAGCTTCTGCTGCTTTTTGATACCGTATAATTGGAGGGTTCAGTGCAAAAGAGATAAAATCAGATGGGAACTCCAAATGTACTTTTCCAAGTTAGCGTTCAGAAGTTTCTCCTGTCATAGTAATGTGCCATGATAACACCATTGTTTTTGCAATTGCAACCCATTTTGAAGTGTTGCTTATTTCCTCTACTCCTCAGAAAGAGCATAACCTGCAAGTTTTGGGTCTGGTGAAATCAGATGAAGGATTCTATCAGTGCATTGCGGAAAATGATGTTGGAAATGCACAAGCCGGAGCCCAGCTGATAATCCTTGACCTTGGTAAGATAAACCGTGGGAGTACAGTGCCGAAAGATGGGGAGGAACAATTTCAAGGGACCATTTCTGGATGATGTGTTATGTCTATAACTCAGAGTAGAATGTTTTTCTAAAATCATAGGAGTGGTTCAGTGTTGTCTTCTGTACACTTAAAGTTACTTAGGAGAAATTAAGGAGTTCTATAGTATTCACGTTATATTTTGTAAAATATGTAGAAAATATTTAGTGAAATAAGAAGCTGTAGCCAGAAATCTGAAATACTGTTGCATGCTGGGATTTTAGAAAAAGAACAGGATAGCTGAGATGAAAACATTCACAGAAATTACAAAACTGAAAAATAAGCACTTACGGAGCACACCACAAAAGAAGTATTTTGCATCAAAGTCTTTCCAGTGTCAGAAGCTTTTTTCTGCTACAAGTTTAAAAAGTAGTAAGCTTTGTCATTTCTGCAAACTCCAACTGCAAATTTTTTTGAGTTGCAGTTTAAGATAATTATTTGTTACTGTGCTCCAGTCAGTGGTGGTACTGACAATGCTCACCTTCTTGCAATGTCCTGCATTGCATGTTTTGGATGTTAAAAGAGATTAACTGCTGTTACAGTTAATAAAGACCTACTATCTTCAGGAAAAAAAAAGGTAGTACAAATATTTTTTGCTAAGGCATCAGCTTCTTTTGCTCTTTCAGGTCACACAGTTCTTAAAAATCAAGGAAGAAAACCAATAGTAAAGAGGATGAGGGGAGAGACAAATCAGATAAGAAAATACTAATTCTGTACTTCGGGGGGCTTTTGTATTGCCTGCCTTTCGGAGGTTTTGTTTCAAAATTCTAATTTCTTTTTTATTTGGATGGAAAGGATTTAGGAGAAACAGTCTTACGTACGGTCAGAGGCATGATGTAACTTCACACTTGAAGTTTTAACAGATGTGGATCTGCTAGACCTGGCCTTGGTGTCCAATGTACAAAGAGCAAAGTGTTACAAGCGTGCCATAAAGACAGAGATTTTCCATTTCTTTTCTGGTTGTTTTGTAGAGTAGTTGTGCACTTATAACTTCTTCTGAAGTCTCGTTGGGTGTGGGTATGTCTTGTTGCTGGCTGAAGAGACGCATGTACTTTCCATAATTCTTTGGGGACTGAAAGGTGCCTGCTACTGGATTCAGTGCCTTTAATACCAGAGAGCCGTGGGCATTCCGCCTCCAAGGAGTGTTAGGCAGCTGGATCCAGCAATGGCCTACTGTCATCAGGTTGCCAGAGAAATTGTTAGAAGTAATTTTACTTCTGCTGTGTGCATGAATCACCTGAGTAGTTTCCAAATCGTTCAAGAGGAAGCATTATTCCATATTTTCCACGTTTGAAAAATACTGAATAATTAATGTACTTGGATTTTGAAGCCCTGCCCAAGTTTGTGCTTTCCCCCAGTTCCCAGTAGTGGTTTATAAATTACTATTACTGTTATTATTTTAGTTCCTGTGGTCTCACTCTTCTTCCTTTCCCTTCCCTGTTGTTTGCCCAGTGGTTTCTCCTTCCTGTTCTACTCTGGCAACCTGTCCTGTTACACTAAAGGACTTTGCCTTATAATGCTGTCCTTTTTCTTTTGCATGCTGCCAAAGGATTGTGGATGCAGTGTTGGTGGAGTCTCATTCGGGTGTAAAGATACACCCGGGAAGTCGTATCGCTCTGTTACATGGCCTGCAGTGTTTTTAACAATGCGCTCCCAGTGTAACACTGACGCATTTTAGCTGTTGTTTTCCAGCGGTAGAGCTAACCACATGGTACATCACCTAAAGTGCGTTGTATTTTTTGTGCTTGTTGAGTAGTGGCATAACAAGTAGTGCAACTATGAGTGAATGTGCTGTGTCTTGCTCAGTTGTGATACACGAAAACAGTTGGAGAAAATACAGATATTTGATATTTTAATACCTTCTCACAATATTTGAAAAGCAAAGAAGGAAACAATATTCAGGGAAAGATTGAAGGTATCCTGTATAATAGTTCTTTCAAGCCAGACATCTTGGTGTGAAAATGAAAAACACTAATTTGAGCAAAAACTATTCTGAACACTTTGATCATTAATTCAGAAAGCTCTTTTTTTTTAATTTCATATTTAGTGATGAGAATTACCTACTTTGCCAGTTTGAAAAGTAATTTCAGTGCAAATATTTTGATTAAGTGTTCATCGAAGTTGTTGCAAATGAACAGTGTGTCCCTTCCCTTGCTGTTCTCTTTTCTCCTTCCTAAATGGAACTGGCAAACATCGGACTATTTACAGACTGTTTCCAGTTAGCTCTTTTGCTTATCTTGTCAAATTGATCATTAATATATTAGATTTAAATTAGAAAGTAGAAACCCTATGGAGATTCTCAGAGAGGCCGCATGCGTTCTTCATGGGCCGGGGTTGGAGGAATGGACCGAGACTATTGTGTGGTCATCTATCAGTGGACTGCAGCATTGATTTTGGTATCATTGACAGCGAGGAAGGGGCTAGTTGGCCACCATCAGAGAGGAGTTTGAGTAGTGGAAAAAGGTGGAGTTACTCGGACTTTGAGGGACATACGCTTAGAAGGGTTAAATAGAAATGAATAAAACTATTTAGACTTGATGAGAGCTTAGCTGTCTCTTCTGTGCATTAGCTTGTTTCAGTCTAAACCCTTCATCTGGAAATTTCCCAGCGTGTTGGCTTTTGCTGCCCACAACGATACTGTTTCATCCATAGCTTTATTGAGGGGTGCTGTGAGGGGTTTTGAGTGCTCTGAAAGTAAAATACCGCACCTGTATTTTCTTCAGCCTCAGGTGGTAGCATGAATTTTAAATACGATAGGCATAAAGTATACAGTGTCACTATCGACTCCAGCATATCCTTCGGTGTTTGGACATGGATTTCTGACTTCGCAGGCAGCGGTGGTTTGGTGAGCCACCTCGTTTCCTGCACAGCCACAGTTTCGGTAGGTGAATGGGTGTGGGTGCACGCTGTGCACAGCCACACAGGCCAATGTGTGTGCAGACATTTATTCTTCAGCTTAATAGAAGTTTTGATCAGACAGAAGTTTCTTTTGGGTTGGTATTTTTTGTGTTTGGGATGAATTGTGAAAAGCTTGCAGTGTATGTGGAAGTTGTTTGTGGAGAGTATTAAAACAAAGAATTAACTGGCTAAAAAAATTAGGTAATTTGAAGGCTTATTGGAGTAGCTGTTTTATTTTCAAATTCTCTGATTCTCTGTTGATAAGTTTCAAAAAGAAGACTGTAGTTGGAAATGGATTGGCTGTACAGAGTCCGCAACTTTTGCTTTTTCTGGAATATATGAAAGAATTGCTGCATGGGGAGGAGAGATTTTAGGACAACTGTTCATAACGGAGAAGGTTAAAAGGGGGAAGAGAGGGACTAGGATTCAGGTAAATGGTCCAAATTAAATACGCTTCTCCTACCAATATCCCCTGCACTGAACTTCAGATGTAGAATTCTGCATGAGAGTTGAAAAGCGTCGCATCTGCTTTCCGTTTACTGTGAGATTTGGCAGTGGGTCCCTATTTCTCACATAGTGGCCTTCCCCAGGAGGCCAAGTACCTTTGGGGATTTCAGTGGAGCTGTGGCTCTGCTGCCTGGTCTGCCTTTTATGGAGAATGTGACAACAACCTGCAGAAAGGGAAGTACTTCAGTTACCACATTCCTCTGCACTTGCCATCCGCCAGCGTCTCGCAGTCTCGATGCTCCTCTCTTTGCCGTATGCATTAGAAGATAGGTGATGTTTTCTTATATCCTGCAAGTGCCACCATGGAGGGCTCTTGCATATTGCAGTGAGAAGGAAGAACCTTAGTGGTACCTTGTGAATGATTTTCTCAGCAACCTGAAGATGTCTCCTCGCTCCTTTTTTTACACAAAAACAGCTTTTTTATTTAAATTAGATCCTGACGGGTCAGCCTCTGACCATCTCAATTATGGATCAGCTATTCTAATATGCTCAGTTATAACAAAGCGATTTCTTGTCATCGTTTTTACAGCATTTTTTTGTGTGGTCTGTGAAAACCTCAGTAATGGATACATTTGGGTTTTCTTCATGGAGGTTAAATGCTAGTGACAAGACTCAAAAAGTCAGACAGGACCTGTAACCTGGCCTTTTCCAGTGTATCTGACGTTGCTCACAATTGCCATGTGGGGACTGAAAAAAGAACAGGTGGTAATAAGGAAAAGGAGGTGCCTTTGGGGGAGGAAGGCAGATGGTTCCCTGTCACCCCTGTGTGATAGGCATTGACAAGTACTCAGGCACCGAAAAAAAAGGAGTGATTCTTGAATGCTGTGTAAAGAAAAACCACAGACTGTAAACAAATATGCCACGTTATTTAGAGAACAATTTCAAAACATTATTTGAGATGCACTGTATCACCTTCAAAATTCCAAAGTAAGTGCAGTGTACCACGTGATTTTTGTGCTTTTATACTGCAGAAGTTAGTGCTTGCTGTTCTGTGCCATCCTTGTGAGTTGTATAGGAGTGATATCGCCCAGTGAATGAATTGAATACACTGCTGCTATCCAGTAGTACACCACGTCAAGATTTTTTGTAGTGGAACTATCCATTTCTTTAAACTTAAATTTTTAATGAAAAATAGTTTGTATCCAAGCGAGGATATCCTGCATGTGAATTAATACTACCAGCATGGGAAACAAGGAGCAGCTAGTAGAAGGCTGCATGTAGTTGCGGAGCTGTGAAGCCTTTGGGATTGCAGAGACGTTTCAGGATAGCTCCATGGGATGGATGCAGGCTCTTTTGGAAGGATGGGATGGGGAAGCAAGGAAGAGGGTCTCGTTCTGTGCAGAGGGCTGACTCGCGTGTATGTGGTTTCAACTTGGAGAGGGTGATGAGCCAGCCGAGCGCTTGTGCCTCAGGATCAGAGGATGGAAGGACAACATGGTCGTGCATGTCTCCTAAACACCAACTAATAAGGGGAAGAAGTAGACAAAGCCTTCTTTGCACAACTAGAGACTGCAGGCCCTGCTATTTATGTGGGTTTTGT